CACTTTTCGCAACTAATTTTTCGAAGCAGTAGATTTGATGGATTAGAATGATGTATTTTCGCCATCTAGAGGTGAAATAAACTTAGATTTATTGTTTGTGGTTTGGTAGTTTAAGAAAAAAATGGGCGAATCCATATCAACAATAACGAATAGTTTTTCAATTTTAATCCGATTTTAATCTCTACCATACACACTCTATTCGTGCAACAAATGAAGGTTTAGGCAAAGTCTACTAAAATGTTTGATACTGCAATTTTCCCATAATTCCTTTTATTAGTAAATATTAAAAATAAGTAACTTTAATTTTTGACGGTAAAGTGAAAGCTACGTTTAAAAATAATGTCTTTTTTTTTACATGAAAAGTAACATCCACATGTATTTGTTTTAAGTTTGACTAACTTTAAATTTTTTAAAGTTAAAATTTAAAAGTTGATTTAATTTGAAACTTATGTTTTTTTTAGAAAGTTTTGAAAAAAGTCATAAAGTTTTTATAAATTCGTTTTAGATGTTTGATATGTACTATTTTTAATTATTAAATGATTTTTTGATTGATTAAAAATTAAAATAATAGTAAAATAAGAAAGCGCATTTTTACCTTTTTTTTACTCATATGTCTCGTCTAGCTGATAACTGGGCCTCCTTGTATCATAACGCGTTAACACGCCTATTTGAGACGCATTAATAGCAAAGAAAAATAAAATATGTGATCGTTAGTTTCAAAAAAATTGAATTGGTGTGAAATAAAAAGTCAAACATTACGGTTCAAACAGTTGGATTTCTCATTTTATTGTCTGAATAATGCCTCAAACTGGGGCTACGTCATGGGAAAATTTCATAACAAAAAGGTTAAGTTTCACCCATTTCAAGTTTAAAAAATAAGGTTTAAAATTTAAAATTTCAGATTTTTTAAGATTTAAAATCTCAAATATCAGATTTTTAAAAATTTTATTTATAAATAAATAAATTAAATATATATTTTATTAATTAAATATATTAAGTTCACAAATTCCATATAATTGGTCACATATTAATTTGTCACAAATCACAAATTTTACATCTCAAATTATTTTACGACCACAATTCAAAAATTTTATAGGTCACAATTTGTTTATCGGTCATAAATAAAAAATTGAAACGTTACAAATTATTTTACGGTTACAATTAAAAATTTTTATATGTCACAATTTGTTCATCGGTCACAAATCAAAAATCTTATAAGTCACAAATTATTTTATAGTGTCAAATTAGAAATTTTATAGGTCACAAATTATTTTACGATCACAATTCAGAAATTTTCTAAATCACAATTTGTTCATCGGCCACAAATAAAAAAAAATCATATGTTACAACTTATTTATCAATCACAAATCACAAATATTATAAGTTACAACTTAGTATGCAATCACAAATTATTAAATTATCGATCACAAATTAACATTTTTTTAGCTCACAGATTATTTTTTGGTCACAGTATATCTTTTTCATTGGTTGAATATTATTTATCGGTCACAAATTGAAGAATTTAATGTTTACAAACAACAAAATAATATGTGACAAGCAACCGTACTTGTGACCACCATCTCACCACTGTCACCAACATCATGGCAATCGAAACCCCGTCGCAGGAACCACCACCACCTCTCGATAGCAAACTGTCACCATCACCATCGACCACCACCACCACCGCAGTCAATATCAAAAGGAACACTACCCAAACATTATTAAAAAATCAAATTCAAAATAATTAGTCATCGCCACCACTTCACTAGCACATCCACTGCTAGCACCACCACAACTACAAACACCGCGACCATCTGCACACCACCACAAACTACCCCAAAAACTTCGACACCCAAAAGTTTAGATTTTCCACACATATCCCACCACTAGCAACATCTCTCATGCCCAAAACCATCGCCGCCCAAAATCGGCACCACTATCGCCGCCTAAAAACTGCACTACCAGGATCGTGACCATCACCACAACCACTACACACCCACCACCAACAACTGCATGCAACCAACAAAACTCAATGCAAATTTTTCAGCTCTAGAACGCGACCTAATTTTCCCAAATCGAGACCATCAAAACTCACAAATGACAAAACCAAACAAATCTCAGGCAGCGGCAACACTAGCCCATCATTCGCCGCTGTAACAGTGGCGCTCAAGCATTTCGGGACAACATCGTCGTTGAGCGCATTGCACAACAGTCACTGTTGAAGCGTCTCACATCGGTAGTGCGTCGGTGACGACGTCGCATTGCAGCGACGTCAGAGTCATCGTAGTGACGACATATGTGGTGGTCTCCGGCGAAAGTTTATGGTGGTTGGGATAAAGGGATGGAAGAGAGAAAGAAGAAGTTAGAGAGAGAGAGAGAGAGAGAGAAAATATATGAAAATTATTAGGGTTTTGGATGTGCGGTTGGATTGGGTGGTTATTAATTTGATTTTGTAATATAATTATTAATACTAAAATTTTGAATTAATATCTGATTTTTGAATAAACAAAATTTTTGAAATTGAATCTTAAAAAATTTGGTTGGTTGTAATTTCCTCTTAGGTCTTTTAGAACACCTAGTAAAGAATCAGGTGACATCTATATTAGGCGGCTCCTATTTATTTTTGGCTCTACTTGATTTACACCTTAAGCAATTCAATCCCTGCTTATGTATACCAGCTGAAACCGGAGGTGTGTAAGAATTATTTTCAGCACTATTCTTTGTGATAGTAGTAGATCTAAAGGAAACTCTTTAAATTCCAGGTTTTCTCCTCTCTTCGTCTCCTTTTCAGTTTTTTTTCCACACTTTTCACCTTTCAGCTGCCGTTATTTACTCGCCACCGGCCAGAATTCTTTCGTTTACTCACTTTCCTCCAAACCACCAGCCAGAATTTTCCCTCTCTCCTTAAATTCAACTGCCATTTTTATTTGTTACTTTTAATTTTCAACTCTGTTTTGGCCTTTTCACCGGCCAAATACTGTCATCACTTTACCCTAATCACTGAATTACCATGCTTTAGCCTTTCAAATGTGTCGTTTTTCATGCTTTTCCGTACCTGTGGTAGGTCTTTTTTTTTTTTTTTTTTTATTCAGTAATAACAATTTCAACAATCTAGGAACTATTTTCATGATTTGCTTTGATCAATATATGTATGAATGTATGCTTTTTATTTTATTTTATTTTATTTATAAAATTCAAAAGTTGTTTAACTGGATGTGTATAATTGCGAATCAATTACGCGTCATACTATGAATAATTGTGATTTGGAAAGGATAATCATGATATTGGAATTGTTTGAGTTGTTTAATTAATTATGAAAATTAATAGTAACAGATGGACGCTAATGGAACATCCCAAAATCTGAACAAAAGCTCCGCACGGTGGGATGAGTTTGCTAAACTTAAGTTTGTTGAATTGTGTGAAGAAGAGATTTCCAAAGGAAATCGGCCTCGAACCTACTTATCGAAGGATTTTCTGACGTCGTAGATACTGGAGCTAGGCCAAATAGGCTGTATGTGATGAAGTTGAAGGTAGTGGCAATAATGACGAGTGCTTAAAGTTGGTAGTAGCCGGGCACTCAAGGGAAAATCCTGAAAACTACATGCTTCCTGCAGCCGGGCAGTCGAGGGAAAATCATGAAAATATCATATTTCCTGTAGCAGGGCAATCAAGTGAAAATTGTGTATGTCCTGGGCAGTCGAGGGAAAATTTCACGCTACCATCTTCATCCTTTGCGAAAAGAAAATCAAGCATCAGATTAGAAACCAGTAAATCAAGGTTCTCATTGCGGGATGACATTGAGAACCTTGCGAATTTGATTTCTGCAAAAATTAGCGGTATAGGACCCTCCATCAAAGAGTGCTTGGCCTTGCTAGGCAAGATTGATGATGGAGTTGCCGTTGGAAGTCCAACTTATTTTTACGCGTGCAACTTCCTTTGTAACAAAGACAATAGGGAAATGTTCATTGCAATTGGAGATGATACAGCACGACACAATTGGATTATGTATAACTATAACATCTCCAAATCGAACGATCCTGTGTTGCCATGATCTAGTTTACTGTTAATTTTCGAACACGTTGGTCAATATTTCAATGAAAGTTTTGTGTAACTTTAATAGACTGAGACTTATTTATGTTATATGAATTATGTAAGCTTTCTAGCAAGATATCTTCTTACTTTAATTCCTGTGGAAATTGACTTTAAAATTTTCAGGTAGAATATTTGTTTCTAATGATGATTTATTTTTTGTTCTAAGATAAATAAAATGGAGAAATGGGATGTAAGAATATGTAGCTTCAATTAGGGATGTAAACAAGTCGATAATGCATATTGAAATTGGAAATTTCATTATACTCGTTGGATGCAAAAACAAATTGCAATCTTGTTCTCTATCACTGTCTTTCTCTTTTAGTGGTGTGAGGAAGAACCTATGTAGGGGAAGAAGCTGCACGAAGAAAACATGTTTTTGGGGTTGGTATTTGATGGGTTTTGTGCAATGTGATTATATGTAACGAACATTTTATCAGCATTGTCGATGTCGCCTCTCTTAGCATATTGGTCCATAACTGCCATATACGAACTAAACATTGGTTTGTCCCTTTTCTTCTTAGCAGCCTTTTGCAATATGGAGTCGGCCTTTTCCACTTCTCCGACATCAATGTAAAGCTTCACAAGTGCATCCCAAGTCAGTGGTCCGATAACACAACCACTCTCAGCCATTCCCTTTATGAGGTCATTTCCTTTGGCCAACATTTTATGTTGTGCATAAAGTTTTAGTAGAATAAGAGATCTTTTCATCTCATTGTATATTGTATTGCTTTAATGTTTGTACATATTTATGTACTTGGTGTACACTTGCACGTATGAGATGTATAAAATGTCCATCTACGTGAATTCTTGATATTAAAATTTTGGTATTGAGTCGAATATGAAATCTTTTTCATTGGGGATGCAAATTGATCTATCTTAATGGTTCAATGACATAGGAGAATCAAGAAATTTGATCTTAGAAAGAAGTGTCACTTTTTTTGAATTTTTATCACTTCCAACTTATTGATAGTTATGTTCCTAAAAATGAAGCTATGTTCTATTTTTAATTAATAGAAGTGAAGCATAATTACAAATAGACAACATGCAAAAGAAAATCAATCATCCCTTAGATCTCTCTTAAGGTTTTGATTGATGTTAAATATTATTTCACTTTTTGGGGTATTTGTCACGTTTTGGAGTGCTTGTCACTTTTTTGAGGTTTTTATCACTTTTTAAATTTTTGTTACTTTATTGAACTGATTCAAAGGTATCGATTGGTGTTTTGTCACTTTTTTGAGTGTGTTGTCACTTTTTTTATTTTTCGTTACCTTTTTGAGTTTTTATTATTTTGTCTTAAATTTTTGTCACTTTATTAAATTGATTTTTAAGTTTCGATTGGTGTTTTGTCACTTTTTTTAGTCATCACTTTTTTAATTTTTGTCACTTTATTAAACTAGTTCCAAGGTTTTGATTAGCGATTTTCCACTTTTTGAATGTGTCACTTTTTTGAATTTTTGTCCATTTTTTTAAATTTCTGTCACTTTTTATAGTGTATGTCACTTTTTTCCTATCACTCTCTTAAAAATTTCATTACTTTTTTTAGTGACAAACAACACTTTTTAATAAAGCAAGATTGTATGTCATTTTTTAATAAAAAAATAATACTTAACTTTAAAAAATAACATTGTGTGACTTAAATACTTTTCATATGTTTTTTCAAAAGATCCCAAAATTTAGGGGTATTTTATAAGTTGCCCTAAAATTATTAAATAATGATCCATTATTTAATGATCATATTACATAAAAATATTAAATAATGATCCATTATTACATATTAAAATTTAATTGCATTCTAATATCTAAATTTTTTAAGTCTATTTGTAATGATTTACAAATTTACTTATAAAGTATTTTTTTTTATTAAGCGTCCACATTCAATAAAAAAAAAGGTTCAACTTATTATAAACAGAATATATAAAAAAATTAGACTCCATTTGATAAATTTATTAATGAATTTTAAAGATGAATACGTTGATGAATATTGAATAATAGTAGATCTTATGAAATGTGTAGATGATAATAAATATTATTTAAATTAATGTTTAATTTTAATTAAATTAAAAATCATTTATAATTTTTTATCGAAAGGAGGCATAGTCATAAATATATTATTTAAGTTCAAACTATTTAATTGGTGCGTTGTAATTGATTTGAATTTTATTAAACATCTTATCTTATGGACACAGAATATGTAGGTTCATTTCCCGATTTGTCATTGAACTTTGCGTAAAGTTTTCTATGAAATCACTGAAATTCAAAAGTTTCCCCGTTAGTCACCAAACTTTACAAAATGTAATCTCATCGATCATTGATTAATGGGAGAACTTTTGAATTTTAGAGACCCCTTGAAAATTTTACGCAAAATTCAGTGACAAATAAGGGAATTAACTTTTAGTGACTAATGGGAAAATTTTTGAAATTCAGTGACCCACTAAAAGGTTTACTCAAAATTCAGTGACCAATAAGGTAATTAATCCCCATTTGGGCATTTTTGCTATTTTTATTTATTTTTTGTCTTTTTCTTTCTTTTTTGTATTCCTACCTCTCAATTTTATTCTCGCTAGCATCACAACACTTAGAAAAAGGAATAATCTTTTATCCCGAGGTAACCAACAAGGTTGTCTTTTGACCTCTTTAAGATCAAAGAGACAACATATGTTCATATGACTCTAGAAATTTCTGGTTCATATAGTTCCATGGTCTGCTTTAACTTTGATCGTCTTTCCATCAAGACATACTTAAATAAAAACTAGAAATTTATTAGACTCTTTGCTGAAAATGTATATAAATTTTAAAATTGAATACTATTAAGTAATTAATGCTGAAGGTGGCACTCTTTTGAAATAGTTGATTCCTTGAACCTATGTTGTCTCTTTAATTTTAGAGAGGTCAACAGACAATCTTGTCGATTACCATGTAATAAAAGACTATTCTTTTTTCTAAGTTTGGCGATATATTATAAACAGAATATATAAAAAATTAGACTCCATTTGATAAATTTATTAATGAATTTTAAAGATGAATATGTAGATGAATATTGAATAATAGTGGATCTTATGAAATGTGTAGATGATAATAAATATTATTTATGAATGTGTGATTTAAATTAATGTTTAATTTTAATTAAATTAAAAATAATTTATAATTTTTTATCGAAAAGGAGTAGTGGGTCGTTGTAATTGATTTGAATTTTATCAAACATCTTATCTCATGGACACAGAATACGTAGGTTCATTTCCCGATTTGTCATTGAACTCTGCGTAAAGTTTTCTATGGAATCACCGAAATTCAAAAGTTTCCCCGTTAGTCACCAAACTTTACAAAATGTAATCTCATCGGTCATTAATTAATGGGAGAACTTTTGAATTTTAGAGACTCCTTGAAAATTTTACGCAAAATTCAGTGACCAATAAGGGAATTAACTTTTAGTGACTAATGGGAAATTTTTTGAAGTTCAGTGACCCACTAAAAGGTTTACTCAAAATTCAGTGACCATTAAGGTAATTAATCCCCATTTGGGCATTTTTGTTATTTTTATTTATTTTTAGTCTTTTTCTTTCTTTTTTTTCTTTTTTGTATTCTTACCTCGCAATTTTATTCTCGCTAGCATCACAAAACTTAGAAAAAGGAATAATCTTTTATCCCGTGGTAACCGACAAGATTGTCTTCCGACCTCTTTAAGATCAAAGAGACAACATATGTTCATATAGTCAACTAGAAATTTCTGGTTCATATAGTTCCATGGTCTACTTTAACTTCGATAGTCTTTCCATCAAGACACACTTAAATAAAAACTAGAAATTTATTAGACTAGCTGAAAATGTATATAAATTTTAAAATTGAATACTATTAAGTGATCAATGCTGAAGATGGTACTCTTTTGAAATAGTTGATTCCATGGACCTATGTTGTCTCTTTAATTTTAGAGATGTCAACAGACAATCTTGTCGATTACCATGCAATGAAAGACTATTCTTTTTTTCTAAGTTTGGCGATTTCAAAGAGAAAAAATTATGAGGTAGGAGTACAAAAAAAGAAAGAAAGAAAGAAATGACTAAAAAAACATAAAAATAATAAAAATGGAGGTTAATTACCTAATTAATCACTAAACTTTGCGTAAGGTTTTCAACTAAACTTCAAAAGTTTCCATGTTAGTCACCGAACTTCAAAGGTTTCTTGTTAGTTATGAACGTCAATTCCCTTATTGGTCATAGAACTTTGCATATATTCCTATGGGGTAATTGAATTTAAAAAATTTTCCAGTTTCAAAGTTCAAAAGTTCACCGTTAGTTACTGAATTTTAATTCCTTGATCGGTCCTTGAACTTTGCGTAAACTTCTTAGGGAGTCACTCAACTTCAAAAGTTTCCTTTAGTCTTAGAGATCGATGGAATTACATTTTGTAAAATTCGGTGACTAACAGGAAAACTTTATAAGTTCAATATCTTAATAGGTTTTCAAATCGTACAAATATAATTACAAAAGAAAGACTAATAATCAAATTTATTAATTGTTTCCCTTTTTTATGTCCATGTTTGATCTCGATTTTAATTTTTTTTTTCAAATTCATACATTTCATGGGACTCACAATTTTTATCAAATTTTCAAAAATACATTTTATCAACTTTTATCAAAATCTACTAAGAATTTAATTTTAATTTTAACCAAATTGGGGCTATATATATAGTCTTTTATTCCGAGATAACTGACAAGGTTGTCTTCTGACCTCTTTAAGATCAAAGAGGCAACATATGTTCATTTAATCAACTAGAAATTTCTGGTTCATATAGTTCCATTGTCTGCTTTAACTTCGATTGTCTTTCCGTCAAGACACTTAAATAAAAAATTAGAAATTTATTAGACTTTTAGCTGAAAATGTATATAAATTTTAAAATTGAATACTATTAAGTGATCAATGCTGAAGGTGGTACTCTTTTGAAATAGTTGATTCCATGGACCTTTGTTGTCTCTTTAATTTTAGAGAGGTCAGTAGACAATCTTGTCGATTACCACGGAATAAAAGACTATTCTTTTTTCTAAGTTTGACGATTTCAAAGAGAAAAAATTATGAGGTAGGAGTACAAAAAAAAAAAAAAAAAAAAAAGAAATGACTAAAAAAACATAAAAATAATAAAAATGGAGGTTAATTACCTAATTAGTCACTGAACTTTGCGTAAGGTTTTCAAGGTGTTACTAAACTTCAAAAGTTTCCATGTTAGTCACCGAACTTCAAAGGTTTCTTGTTAGTTATGAACGTTAATTCCCTTATTGGTCACTGAACTTTGCATATATTCCCATGGGGTAACTGAATTTCAAAATTTTTTTAGTTTCAAAGTTCAAAAGTTCACCGTTAATTACTGAATTTTAATTCCTTGATCGGTCTCTGAACTCTGCGTAAATTTCTTAGTGAGTCACTCAACTTCAAAAGTTTCCTTTTAGTCTCAGCGATTGACGAAATTACATTTTGTAAAATTCAGTGACTAACAGGAAAACTTTATGAGTTCAATACCTTAATAGGTTTTCAAACCGTACAAATATAATTACAAAAGAAAGACTAATAACCAAATTTATTAACTGTTTCCCTTTTTTATGTCCATGTTTGATCTCGATTTTAATTTTTTTTTTCAAATTTATTTTCAACCATACATTTCATGGAATTCACAATTTTTATCAAAATTTCAAAAATACACTTTTATCAAAATCAACTAAGAATTTAATTTTAATTTTAACCAAATTGGGGCTATATATATATAACCTATCGAACTTGATATTTTCTAAAATATTGATGAAGAAAAAAAAAATAGTATAATACTGAAGCTTTGTGTATACTATAATTGGTGGCAAAATTTGACATGGCACATCCATAGTACCAAAGTATGTACGTGTATACTTTAGTATGTACTACATTGAAAAATATTTATCGTTCATTTACAGTGATGTTCCACACTTAGCTGCTCCAAATCCCACTTTTCGACGAACAAGATCAAATTCTACCCATCGATTTTGTTGATGAAAATTGCCAACAATGTTACTTGAAGTACCGAGCAACGATGACCGTCCGATTCCTATGCAATGGACCCCACCTCCAACGTCATCCAAAACCCTCTCCTTATTGATCAGAATATCTACACCATTTTCAAATTGAAAAATCATGTCGCCTATCAAACGTCCGATCTCAATAGAGTTTCCATCAAAGCACATGTCCAACGATCCTCCGTGCACATACCCTGGCTTGAGCCTTCGACCTGCCACACTCACAACTTTCTCTCTTACCTGCCAAGGTAAAATCATATATGGTTATAATTCAAAAGGAATATTTAACTAATAAAGACTTGATGTAATCTTCCTGAGAAAGTTGAACTTTGATATTGAACCATAAGAATTACCTCACATCTGGTTTTTTTAAAAGTCAAATTGATAGAAAATAAATATGCTATTGAAAAGGTAATAAAAAATTGTGGATTCCATGAAATGTTTTGATTAATTTTTGTCAATTTTTTTAGTTAAATTACCAAGGCCCACAAGGTTCAAACGAACGGTTGATTTAACATATAACAGCTGTTACCTTAGAGTACGCCTCATCCACTAAAAATGTGTATTGGGTGCCGGAGTCAATCATCGTCTGGCCTGAACCGCCAGCATCCGGCCGGAATACCGATACCGGTATGCTCAGTTTCTTCCCGGCGATCATTATCCCCGTCATGGGAAGAGTGTAGGCCAGAGGATCAAAATTCGGCATGCTTTGAATTTGAGGAAAAGATAGAAGTTTGACATACTTAAATGTGTGTGAATTCGGATTCTTTCCGAGGTAAAATGTTCCGATCGGCGTAATCCGCGGAGTGCCTTGCCGGAGTGGCACGCAGTAGGAGAATTTTTTGATTCTAGCTTGGGAAGGAAATGACAGCCGCCCAAGATTCATTCCCAGAATACCCTGAGCCTCTCCGGAGCTGTTGGTGCAACCAAGAACCAGAGGATGGGTAGTTTGGGAAGGTGACAATGTGAATTTATCTGTGACGAGATTGCCGTCAGCCAAAGTCCCATCTGCATAGAAGTAAGAATAGTGGCATAAATTGTTCTCACAAGAAGTTGGGAGGGTAAAATCGGGATTTCGTGGCATGCAAAGCGGGCTATTGCATGGGAGGTTAGAGAAAGTAGTAGAGAGAGAAGGATCAAACGTCGTCGTTGGGGGCTTTCTCGGTGACTTCTTTTGGCATTGTATCCATGAAAGTTGGCTCCCTGTGTCCAACACCATTGGCAGAGTCTGTGGTGGGTTCCCTATTGGGAGAGAGACAATCAGAGCCACTGAATACCTGAATGATGATTTGTAGTGGATTGACGGTGATGATCTTCGATGGCCATGTCCTTTAGCGTTGTGAGAGAGAGGGACATATGAGAGAGAAATCGAGTGGTTTTCATTCGTCGCGTTTCTTGTTTCTGTTTCCGCACAACTCAGATGAAGAAAGTTAAAAAACGCGAGACATAAAAGAAAGAGGGAATTGTAGGACGCCATGAAAGACTGCACAGAATCAGAGAGCGATAGAGAGAGGCCACCGGTGGTGGAGGAGGTGTGGTGGTTTTATAGTGGGGTTGGCCGTGAAATGTGGTGGTTGGTATTTTATAGCCAAAACAATGAGGGATTTCTTCGATACATATCATTGAGTTGTATTCTCTAAGTTACATATCATTGATTTCGACAGTTAAGGATACACTCACAAACACGTTGTGATGTGACTTGTATTGGTACATCATGTTTGGCTTATAAGCTAAGAACGTACATCATTATCAAAATAAATAATTTACATGTGAAAAGAGCAATAATTTAAACTATTAATTATTCTCCCTTTCATTAAAATGGTAACTTGATTCCATATTAGAATAAGATTTCTTTCCTTGTGGGCACTCAAATACATAATCTACCAATGATTTTGCATGACAAAGCATCAGAAAATGAAATAATAATATACTTAACTTTAGTGAATGTTATGTGTTTTCATGGTTTTTCGGAGTACTAATTACACAATCAATTATTGTTAAAAAAAATTTACGTTAAAAAATAAAGTAAAAAAAAAATATAGAGTTAGTTTCGCAAATGGTCATTTAGAGTCTGTTCTCTTTACTATTTTCAAGCCGTTTTCTGTTTTCGATTTTTCAAAACAATGAAAAGACGTTCTTTTTCCTATTTTCGAAAACGCGTTTTTGAAAATAAGTTAAAAATTTACAAAGAAAAGCCAAAACGATAAATTGGGTATTTTCAGTTATAACATGTCAAAATTTTCAAAACGCGTTTTGAGTGTTTTCAAAACAATTTTTAAAAATGCCAAAAAGAACACATTTTCAACAATCTCAAAAATGAATGCTCAAAACACAAAACTCAAAATGAATTCAAAACCCAAAACTGAAACACAAAGAGAATAACCTCTTAGTTTTTGAAAATTTCAAGTTGATCTTGAAAGTATTTTTTTTTCCTGTCATTTAGTCATGAAAATTAATTAATATTTGTCCTTTGTATTTTTTTTTTGACTCATTTATCCACTAATGTTAAACCATTGAACTTTATTTTTGAGTTAGGAAAGCCCACAAGGTTCGAATGATCAAGGCGTGAAGAAATCCATCAGGCTTGAAGTTTCATGATTTAATCAAAGAACGATGAACTGCAATCAAGATCAAAGATTGAAGTAGAAGACAACGTAATTCTACAACCTTTGCATGCTTTGAAGAACTTTGTAACGTGTATTAACCATCTCTGATATCTGATTCGATTTAGCATAACAAAATTTTAATTGACATGATGCTAATGAACTACCAACACATGGTCTTTCATTTTTAAGTGCATTTTGTCCTTACTACCTTACTTGTGGTTTTCGTACAAAGAACGTATAAATTCAATTCAAATTTACTAATTTTTTATGGAATTCGAATTATGTAAACAAAAGAGAGTTTTAATTTAATTTTATATTTAATTAATTTAAGAAAGTTGTAAAAATGTGATTTTTATCAATTTATGGATGATTGTATTGGATTTCGAATCCGTCTATTGCTATCTATTTCAATTTTTGATTTGTAATCTAGTTCGGATCATGCGTTTTTGACAATCGATAAAACTATGATATAATTTTTTTTTCAAGACAATTTAAATCTATTCCAACCACGACCCGAATATATTTCTAGCCCAAATTCTAATTATTAGAATGCATTAAAATTTAGATTATCTATATGATTGTATATGTAATAAATTTTATTCCTAATATCTATTGCACATGTGTTAATTTTGCAGCGTTCTAAACTTATTGTGAGTCTCACAATACTACAATAAACAACTAATTATTTAATTGGTGGCCAATCAATTAAATAATGCAACATGTATGCAAAATTAATCAAAAAACGCAAGAAATAAACTGAACTACTAGTCTTGAATTAAAACAAATAAACAATATGGTTCATCTTCATCCAATACAAAAAGAAACTAGTCTAACATATTAATATATAAATTACAAGAAAAATAATAGAAAAATATCACCCGAATTATGAAATAAATCAAATGATGTTGATCTTCAAGCCCAATGTTGAATTATTCAAAATCTTGATGTAATTGACCTTCAATTTCTTGCTAGAGCTTCACCTTCTCTCTCAAAATATAATAATTGACCTCTTATTATTGATGAATTTGATGATAATATTTTGTATGCAGAGGCAAGAGAGATTTTTTTTTTCATGTGTAGCCCTCGTTCTCTAAACATACATCTGCGAAAATGGACCATGCACCGGTATAACTACCGCACATGTGATGTTGAGCCAAATGACTCTCGGTTTGGGAAAAATAAGGTGTCGCGCGCGCCATGAATTTCCCCCACGCACAGGTCGCTTCTGTTAGTCTTTGAGTAACTTTCAGTATTTTGACCATAACTTTCTCTATCGATATCCGATCGAGGTGATTCAAAATGCATTGGAAATGTAATTCAAAGGAATACAATTCTTCTATAATACAAAATTTTCAATTAGAACATTTTCTATCCGAAAAATGGGTTTCAATTTGAGACTAAAAATCCGAAGCATAACTTCTTCAATAGGGGAATTGGTTTGTGGAAATACTTCCATTATATTTCACTCATTTGACCTCCAATTAATCCTATATGATCTTCAATCATCATTTTGTGCTCCGAATCAACTATTGAATGCACACTTTTGTTCCCAAACTTTGAATTTCTTTCGTTTTCGTATGTTTTTCGTTCATTTCTTCCAAATCTACCAATTTGCATTGAGTTTAACCTA